CTATATCGCACAGCTGCCGTTCAAACGATCGTTAGATATCGTAAAGTTCTAAGTATAATATATGTATATATATATAGGTGAAATAAATAAAATGGCTGGCAAAAATTCTCCAGCTGAACCATCCACGAGGGCGCCGGCTGGGCAATGGGCACTGTGTTCGATTCAATTCCTCCCGCCTAAACGCCGTAGGAAATGTATCACAAGCCATGGTTGGAGGTGCCAACCAAACTTTTTACAGGAATGGAGATAGAAAAAGCAACCGGGGCTGGGATGTCAGCCCAAACGTCGGTGGAAGGCGTAACTGCCACAAGAACGAAAAAAATGACGCAAAAAGAGGCTAAGCCGTACGGGTGCCGTAGCCTATATAGACTCGGACCTGGAGAGCGTGCAGCTTTCAAAATTAGAGGAGGAAAGACTTCTTTGCTCGTTGGAACTAGGCACCAGCTCCCCGCGTAGGGACGGGCCGAAGCGTTCAAGCGAGGGAAAGATGGCGAAGGTGCAGTATAAAGCTGCCCTTGACAGGAGTGATGAGAATGGCAAGATGACCGAGGCGCGGTGGAAAACGGTGCAGAAGCCCATTCCCACTTTTGATGGCCGAATGGGGTCAAAATCCTAAATCCTATCCATCCCAAAAGCAAAGCTACTCTTCCCCATTGCTACCAAAGGGGAACGAGCGCTGAAGCTGCGGCAGCCTCAGAATCCGGATATCCCAACCGCAGACTGGAAGCTACTGCACATTATGAGCCCGTTACCCAAAGAAGGGGGCCAATGCGTGGTACTCCTGATAAACGAGGAGGTTGAGGACATCCTGTAACCCAAATACGGGAAGTCGTGGGGCATGGGTAGCGTATACCTGCGCCTCATAAAACGCCACCTCGGGGATAAGGATGCTCACACCCTGAAGTCAGGCGGGTGGAGAAAGAACTAGGTCTGGAAACCATTGTCGACGCCGCCCAGAAACTGACGCTGGATGAGTCCGAAGAGGAGGAAAAAGCTGATCTAACATCAGTACTCCACCCGTCGAGTGGAGTTGAGCCCGGTACCCATATCCCGAAGGGTGCTGCAGCTCAATCTCCATAAGGGAAAGGTCGCGTCGGCGGAACTCCTCATTTCCATGAATCAAGGATGTAGCTAAAGTCCAAGAGCCATGGATTGCTTAGGGCAATGTCGACGCCGAACTAAAGCCCTCAAATTAAAACACTTTTTAGCCACCATCGGTAAGCAGCTCCAAGCTTCAAGCTAACCTTAAGTCTCATTACAGCTAAGACGACCTGACTGTGGTGTTGCTAGAAAGCAAGAAAAAGCGCTTACTGGTAGCTTCCTACATTGCACAGATAGGCCAGCTCCACCGGAAGAACTCAGGAGCCTAGTAGAACCCAGCCCAAAAGATCAGCAACTGCTCGTGGGTGCAGACTCTAACGCGCACCACAGCGAGTGGGAAAGCCCCGATATAAACAACAGAGGTAAGACACTTTTAGACTTTATACTTTCAACTTAATTATGTATAGCAAACATGGGGAGGAACACCCCTTTGAAGGCCTACCTCGTCCAACGTGCTAGGTATAACATTTGTAGCGGGACAAAGCACAATGGTATCAGATTGGAAAGTCCTTGAGAGACCATACTTCTCAGACCATAAGTACATACAGTTCCAATGCGAATTCGATCACTCTCCAAAACTAACTAACTAATGTCACAAATATTAATTAATACTTTTTTATCAACTGGCCGAAGTCAATTTTATCTTCAATTAATGCTATTCTTAACAAAGCGTTAAAGCTTACATCAGTAAATCTAATTATATAACAACTTTTTATCACTTTTACGTCTGAGAAGACAAATACGTGCTGGCGAAACATGCTTCCATATGATGCATTGAAGCTTTAATAAATAGTAACTTGAAGTCTGCTTAAGCCTCGTTTTTATAAAAAAATACTGAATCTCAAAGGTGAAATTTTTGAGTTCCTCAGCGATTTGAAGTATTTTCGCATCGATAAAAATTGTGGAAGACATTCGTGAAACACTTGATCATAACTATCTGACTTTTTTATACCTTCTTGACCACAGTAAAACATTTGACTCCATCAACAATCATATTACCATTAGTACCAAACTAATTGGTCTTGGGAAATCGAATTTTCTCCTTTCCAAACTCATTCATGGTGTTGCCCAAGGATCAGTCCTGGGCCCATTGTTGTTTCCATGTATGTAAATGAAATTGCCTATTCTCTTGTCTGATTGTGAAGTTCATTTGTTAAATGTTTGTGTTAGTTTAAGCAGTGTTTAAAAAACTGTGGTAAGTTTCATTTCGCATGATTTTGATTCTGCTTCTGCTTCTGAACAAAGCATAAGTCGCAGTCAAAGCATAGTCAAAAATCAAACAGCAACCAAAATCCAAAATAGCAGTCATCGCTTTTCGTTTTCTTGCTTTTCGCTTTGCTGTTGCTTTTGTCGTAGACGTAAGTCGACGCTGTGGCACGCGTCGACTTTTGGGATTTGTCGGCAGCTACAGTCGCATAAGTCGCTGCATTCGACTTTTTGCTACTTTTGATTTTGGTAGCTGTTGCTTTCGATCAGCAGCATATGTCAAAATTAGCAAGAATATGCAGATCGTGGAAGTCGCCCGTAGCCGCCGTCGCTCTGGTTTGCTTCTTTTGATTTTACTTGTAGTTAGTTTGCTGCGGGACTCACACGTATTCAGCCATGGCTCCAAGTGAAGTGTGGAAGTATTTCGAAAATAATGCAGACGAGGGTTTAGCAATATGTAATGTATGCAAAAACTCTCTTAAAAACAATAGACTTTCAAATTTAAAAATACACTTAATAAAACAACACAAAATTAATTTAAACATGCAAAATCTTGAAAATATTGAAACGTCATCAACGAGTACCTTAATTAAAACAATCAGAAAAAAAAATTAAAATATAAGTTAATAAAAAACAACTAATAATATCCTATATAGGACTGGTAACAGAAGACAGAAACCCTTTTAATGTCTTAAATTCACCAAATATGAGGAATATTCTCGATCCAATATGCGAAGGTCTGAAGACTGCGGATGGCAAAATAATGAAATTAAATGCATTAAACTGCAAAAAATAACACTCGAAGTAGTCGCAAATAATATAAGATCTCACATAACAAGTGAACTTAAGAGCACATTATTGTCCTTAAAAATAGATAGTGCAACCCGAATGTTCAGAAATATTTTCGGAATAAGTGCACAATACATAAGAGCTGCTCAAATAAAATCAATTATTCTGGGGATGATTGAATTAAGAGGTTCAGGATCAAGTGGATCTAATAATCTTGCCGCCGAAATAATCAAAGTCCTCAACAGATATAATATAAATTTAAATCAAATTGTTTCCATTACTTCTGACAACGGTGCCAATATGGTTAAAACTACAAATATTTTATCATATCTTTCTGAACAAAACAATGAAAAAGACGACGAAGAGTGCACCAACGACGATTATTTACACAAAATTGAGCTCATAGAAAAAGTGTCCTATGTATTAATAGGTAATATTCAAGTTCGACTGTTTGATTTTTGACTATGCTTTGACTGCGGCTTCTGGTTTGTTCAGAAGCAGAAGCAGAATGATTTTTTTATTTTATAATATCGCTCGCAGTTGAAGAAGTGGAAAGCAAAAATATTGCGACTTATGCTAATTCGACTCCACTTTTTTAAACACTGAGTTTAAGTAATAAAATGCATAATGAAATGTATAAATGGGGAAGGGGTAGGTAATGGCTTGAGTATTAACCCAACCGTGTCAAAATACATTAATAATACAACACATAAAACTAATTTATTTTATGAACGATAGGCCGATACAATTGGCAGAACAAGCAATTAACTTGGAATTTACATTCTATAATACACTTAGCTGGAGCAAACTATCTCCAAAGCTACAAGACGAACATATGGCGTGCTGCGTCAGCTCTCATACTCAACGACTTTTCTTACCATTCAAATGAGAATCTTAGTAGCTAAGGTCATCCAAATTCCGGCAATGTTTTATGGGGTAGAATTTTTTGGATACAGAAACACGCGGGATATACTCTAGCAAGTAGTAGCCTTAATCTTAATTATCAGATATGTATGTCTTTAATTTAAATCGACTTGACCATGTACCACACTTGACTATTAAAATTCTGGACCGAAACTTTATTAAAAAATGTATGTTAGAAAATAAAAAACTCTTTTAATCTTGATTAATCCATGGAACCATGTTAAAAATACTCATTTTAAAGAACTTTTGTTATTTTGGCCGCGGTGGGCTTTTCTGTAAAGCCCATATGTTGTAAGTTGGCTTTTTTAAAATATCTAGAAACTTTTTTGCAAGCAATAAATAGTAAGCTAGCTCGTGTGTTTCGACCGATTTTTGCAGTATATTAGTTAATAAATGGCTACTACAATTTAGACGAATGATAACCTGTAATACTTTAACAATATTTTATGTTGTAATGTTACTTTATGCCTTATAAATTTTAGGTTAAGTTTTTTTTTAGAACATTCGTAGAAGTCGTTTTTTTTTAAATCTTTGGATTTTAAGCCCAATATCATATTTTATATTTTAAAATCTTTTTTGAGGTGCATTGTGCATAGTTGTCCGTTCATAGGTCCAAAGTAAGAGAAGCTCCACTTACCACATCTTTTAACTGATTTTAGAGACGTGAAATTTTGCATGCACATTCTCAAAACATTGAATTTTATGTGTTTAAAAATTAGTAACAGAAAATATATTTTTTAAGATAATCCCGACCAAAGTTGAAAAACATTTCCTTTTTTTGTTTTTCATAAAAAAAAAAATAACTAACATTTCGATTTGAATCTCACTTTACAGAAATGATTATTTAGATAGCATTTAGTTGAAAATATATGCAAGTATTTGTTGCATTAAATGCAGTAGTTTTTTAGTTTTCCCCCGTAGTGAAATCTGCTTGGCGCGGGTATATAAAGTGCCTTCTAGAAGTTTTCATTTTTCTATGAAGTTTTTTTTTTTATTGAAAATCGTTGTCTTCGGTTTTTACCATATAAGCACGGATTGACCAATAACTAACGGATGATTGAAATGCCAAAGATAATCAGAGGGGACAATAGGGTGCTTAAAACGTAACAAATATATAAATATGGAAAACGTGTCAATACTGAAATCTACATAAAGAAAGATGTATCATAAATGTTAAGTCAGCTTGATGTTGCGCAGCTACGAAAGAAGTTAAGATTCAGCACAAAACCGTTGACTACATTATTTCTCCCGGTTTGGTTTACTAAAAAAGAAATAAATTTATGTTCATTAAAAATAATCATATTTAATTTATATGTATTGAAACATAAAATAAATATTTCGCGATAAGAACTTTGCGGAGATTTACAAAATAAAAAAACAAATTTGTATTACTTTCTAGCCATAGCGATTCCTAGTCCCAATATTCCACCGAGTACAAGAGCGGCTCCTCCAGCAACCGCCATACCCTTAGCAATTTCCTTATCACTTTGTTTTTTTATATATTCCTGAATTAACAAAAAAAATAATCATGTCATACACTTTCGGTGTTTTTTATTCACCTCCAAAGAGCGGACTTGATCATTCGATTCGATATCCAGAAAAGCTCTGCAGTATTTTAAGCCCGATGTATACTCCTTAATACGAGCATTGCCAAATGCTAAATAATAAATATAATCACGTCTGCCATCAGGATGTGTACGGGCTAACTCCTCTAAAATCATGATTCCCTGAAAAATAGAAATTTTTTTATTTGGGTAGAGTTTTTAGATGTTGTTAATAATTTGTCACCTTTTTAATATCATTTGTATAGCGACTGCGAACCAAGCAGAATGCATATCTACCATATTGGAAGAAAAATGAGAACTAAAAGATGTGCGTATGCAATATAAAAAATGCTTACTCAAACTTTGTCTCAGTAGTCACTTCTCCATCCAACTCTAGCTCGTGATGATATTTTTTTTCAAACTTCTGTAATAGGCCCATTTTTTATAATTATATTTAAACATAGAGCATATTAACTCGGAACCTCTAAGTCTTCCTGTGGTACAACGTCGTTCAATAACTCGTCCATCGTTTAAATTGTATTTTTTCCCGTGTCCACCAATTTTTATAGAATAACAAAGCAAGTGTGACCACAGAATTATTAAAAAAGTATTCCGTCGACCTGTAAAAAAATGGCCGTCAAATTAGCGTCGATGAGTTAGCGTCGAAATGGAACGGTGGGAAAATGGAACATGGGAGGGATCTTTAATTTTAAATTTATTTCGTAATTAAGGCACTAATTCTAATAAAATAAAGTTTTTAAATGCTTAAAGGTATTTACTATTGTTTTTACTGGGTTTGAAAGTATTTGACATTTGGACATTTGTTTTCACAGATTTCTTAATATCTCGGAATCAAACGCGTGCAACAATACCCGATACGCCAAATTAAAGGACATTTAGTGTAGTTTTACCCTACCATGTTCAAATTTCTTCAAACCGTCAGTTTTTGAGCAAATCTCATGACAGTGATTGTTTAGGGGAGCGATCCTGCCCGGAAAGATTCCTTATCGGAGGCCAACTATTTCCCACGTCACTGGCGAATAATTAACCCGTCAGGGATAAAAATGCAAAGGTGGGGGCGTCTTGGTAGATATTTCAGCGTCAGCTTTTATTCGCTGCTCACATGAGACTAAAAACTTAACTTAGAACCGAGCTCCCGGTCGTTTTGCCTCGTTAAAGCGAGAGCGGGAGATCGGGAATAGTTGGAGTGCGAGAGCAAGCCGGGGACAGAAAGCTCGATCCTCACGTAAACATCCTGCCCCCCTTTCAATCGCTCGGGTTGCAACAGGGTCTTTGCAGCTCTGATTGATGGCAGACTCCAGACACGACCCAACCGAAGACAGTGATTTGGGCCGCATCGCTCTCGAATACATATCCGCGCGTAGGACCACGGAGATGGTCGCCGGTGGATGGAAACGCTCGCCGGTCAGAGTGATGTCGCGGAAGTGGGCCCGCACCGTCTAGCTTAGCTCCCGGATTGGAGAGCGAATGCGCACGTGAGGCTCGACCCTAAACACCACGTCGAAACGGACATTCCTTTCCGTCTTGGAGCCCACAGTGGCTGAACAAATTTGCTCGCCGCCAACGTTAGTGGTGGGAAGACGGAAGCTAGCCACCAACGACGCGTCGATGCAGCTCCTAGGCGTGCACGGGTCGATGGAGTGGCGGAGGGCGTCCGAGGAGCGGCTGCAGATTGCCGAGACGGGGAGTGGACACTGCTAGCCGCCAGAGCTGACTGAGAAGCGGCTTGTGAATTTGTTGCCTCAAGGTTGGCAACACACCTCGAAAAAACGTAACAGCAATAGCTGTTCTTTGACTCCAGCACTGTCGAGGTGGCCTTGCCGTCGTCGGACGTGGAGAGCAGTTCGAAGCAGCTCTCATAACTTTTCTCCACCTTTTCCGACAGAGCCCGGATTTGGTCCCTATGGACTTGACACATGAAGGGGGAGAATCGTTTAGTCTCCCGGGGTGCCCGGCGTGTGGATATTCGCCTCGAATTAACTGACACGGTCTGTGGTGGCAATAAACCGTTTGAGAACGACATCTATAGCATTTTGCACCATTTTGACAACTGGCCGAGTTAATCTAGGCGAGGAACCAGATAGTTTATCTATTTGATTCGTCGCTTTTGGCCCTTGGAATGGCGGCGGTAGCCCTTGGCTTCACTTGAGACGCCCGCGGAGATGGGGATTAAGACCTATCCAAACGGATGGAGGGGATCGGATACGGTTTCTTGTCGTCTCCCGTGGACATTCTCGGAAGCAAATGCTGCTGATCAGGGCTGGTCAACAGTCGAACGGGAGAACGGTCACACTAATGCACAGTCTGTATCGACAAAAAAAAGAGATATGACGGACGAAATTTGTATGGAACTCGGGATATGGGCTTAGGCAATGCATTCGACGAACAAGCGGAATAGAGCCTACAGAAGGCTGGAGGATACGAAAGGAGCCAAAAAAGCCAAAACGCAGCCGAATGGAGGTACTGAGCGTAGATACCTATTTATTGATAATTATTGAGATGGGGATTTAATCACGGGGCTTGGTTGTGGAGACCGGTTATATTTGAGTCCAGCCGGCTAATTGCTGATCGATTAGCTGTGTGAATTGAATTTGGATGCTGGTGATACTGGGACTTGTCTCACACTTGGCTAACAATTCGAATGTCAGAAATCACAAAGCGCAGGTGTTGAATTGTTCCGAGCCGAAGAGCTGGTCTTAAAAGCTCGGTACTTGGTCGCGAAGAAAAGCTCGCTGCGTTATGCTGCCTTCAAGCGGTGCCTATGTTTGCGTTTGAGTTTTGTTGTTAATTGTTTCGTTCACTTTGAATTTTTTTTTAAATTATTATTTCGGGATTAGTTCCTGAAATCGTTGGCCGAAAATGTATGGGCATGGATGTAAATAGGAACAATGTGTCAGGGCACAGTGGAGCGTCGAGAAGTGGACTGTATTGAATTCCGCGAACAGAAATATGTTGTATGGACACGGCACAAAAAACGACAAAAAAATATATCGCGGCAGAGGCGAACTGTTTGGTGAACAAGGTGAACTCCCGAAACAAGTGCACACAGGCTTTCCGATATTTATTATTCCCCTTTTTCCGGCAACACAATTTCACTGTTCACGGTGAGGTTTTTATATGCACGGAATGCAAGAGGTTAGCATTCGTTTTTTATATTCGACTTTATTTATGTACGTTAGATTGGAAATACACCTAAATTTACATAAATGCTTATAATAAGAAAAAAGCAATGCTTCGCACAATTGTAGGTCTCTTAGCCCGTCCGATCCCTTCTAGCCCTCTCCAACACTATAAGGGCCTTCAGCACCTTTGCAGAAGCAGCTGCCGCTTCCCACATCCTAGGGGTCTCGACCATCAACGGCACCAGCGTATCTACCCTGATCTCAGCTCCTGCTACCTCCTCCAGGGTGGCCATCTTATCGTCGAATCGACGGCACTCGAACACTATGTGCTGCACATCCTCCGCAATTCCAGATCCGCATTCCGGGGAACCATACTCATCTTCATGGCCGAACCTCTTGAGGTAACAACGGAAGCAGCCATGTCCGCTCAGCACCTAGGTCAGGTAGAAATCCACCTGCCCATGTTGCTGCTTCATCTAGGCCTCTATGTTGGGGACCAGCCTATGCGTCCATCGCCCTTTGGACGAGGCGTCCCACTTCGCCTGCCAGCTCCCGTAGCTCCTTCTTCTGCAGCGCTTTTCTACTCGGCCATAGTTCCGCCTCCCGGTCCTTCATGTCCTTGCAGCGTGCTCCGAATCTCCACCTTCTCGCGGACCAGCTCCCTCAGGGGGACCATGCCGGCTATCCAGAACGGCGTCGTCCGAGACCGTCTTGAATGCGCTTGCCACCCTAACAGTGAGAGACTTTGTCTCCGCTCGTCAGCAGCTTCCTAGGGATCTGCTTAGGCCCTTTAGTGTTGAGCAGTATGCGGGCAAAACTTCCTGCCGTCCCACTGGCCTTCTTCTGGGCATACTCCAGGTGCACCCTGAATGACAGCCGTGTGTGGTATTTAATCGCCCTCTGCGATCTGATCATGGCTCCTCCGACCCGGATCTCGGCCGTGTTCACCGCTTTCCTGCTCGATATCAGGACTGCCTCTGTCTTGTGCGCCGCTAGTTCTAGGCCAGCGCTCGTAAGCCATGCCTCCATCGATCCGATCGCTTCGTTCGCCAAGTCCCCCGCATCGGTGCGCTCCTTGGCGGTTGCGACCACTGCCACGTCGTCGGCGAACCCGACAACAGTAGTACCATTGGGCATAGGGAGTCGCAGAACCCTGTCGTACATGGTGTTCCAGAGCAGGGGTCCCAAAACAGAGCCCTGGGGGTCTCCGGCTGAGACTTCGTATGCTCTGGAACCCATAGCTGACGCCACTGAGAGCACTCTCTCACTAAAGTAGCTCCTTACTACTTTTGGTAAGTACCCAGGGATATTCAGGGCCACGAGGGACTCCAATGTTCGGTTCCAGTCCGCGGTGTTGAAGGCTTTTCTTATGTCCAGCGTTACCACAAGACAGTAACTCTTGGAGCCGCCTTTCCACCATTTACTCGCGATGGCCGATCGGGCTATATCCTTGACCATCTCAATGGCATCGAGCGTGGACCTTCCTCTCCGGAAACCAAACTGACTCGAGGAGAGACCTCCGGACTTCTCAATGGCAGCAGCCAGTCTGGCTGCCACGATCTTCTCGAACACCTTGCGAGTGGTGTCGGTCAGGCCGATCGGCCTATAGAAGGATGGCTCCCGGCTTGGAGAGCAGCAGTAGCTTCTGCCTGTTCCACCTCTCCGGAAAGATTCCCTCCTCCAGGCCGTCAGAGATAGTACTATATGCAAATGTAATGAGACAGAGGCGGAGACAGCGACTGCAACTGCGGCAGCGGCAGAGCTGGGCGCCAAAACATATAGCCCAAACCAGGGTAAAGCTTAAGCTAGTTTTTCCAAGCCGGGTCCGGGAAGCGGCTCCATGTATGGGTCTTCAACTGGGACGGACACTGGAAGAAAAGTATTTACAGAGCTTGAAAATATTCAAAGAAGTTTTAAAGAGATCGAAAAAATACCTTAAATATATAATCTATATATTAGGAGGTTAATGATTTTGTTTGGAGTTTATGGTGGCGAACTCCCTCGGGTGAAACTCGATGGATATCTTTAGTATCCTGATGGGTATAGCAACCGGCCCCGTCACCTTCTTATGGCGCATGCTACTTCCCAGTTTATACCTCCTCTTTCGAGACTTCGAGGGCCCCATTGGGGTGGCGGTCCGGCTCCACGGTCACTGGAGCTCCACACGGGAACAGCGCTCGCAGTATGCCATCCAGCTCCTCCGGATCCGATGGAGCTGTGCTGCCAGCTCTCACGCCCTTGACAACCACCCGGTATGCTCCGCCCCAGGGGTCGTATTCCGACTCGTCGCAGAATGGCAGAATGGGAGATTGCTCTACTCGTGAACGTGAGGTCGATGATAAAGGCGGCTCCTGGTCTGACAATCGTGTGCCGCCCCCCATTATTTAGGAGGATGACGTCAGTCGCGGCCAATGCCTCCAGCACCACGTGTCCTCTGGAGTTGGTCAAGACCGATCC